GTGAGCCCAACTCGAACTCATCGACCACCTCGATTTCGTCACCGTCAATCTGAACTCGGGGTGAGAGGCTAACATTGTCTTCCCTAGAACCTCTTGCTTTCATGTATTTTGTCTTTGATGCGTTGATGGCAAGTCCAATCCGTCTAGCTTCAGCCTTCAGTCTGATGTACGTTTCCGCCATCATCTCAAAGTTCCGTGCCATAATGTCAATGTCATCGGCGAAACCAAGGAATTAGTTGGCTAGTTGGTGTATTATTGCCCCTGATTTTTTTTGAGTTGATTTTGAACGGGGGAGACAAAAACATCAAAATAAATTTGCAATGGCCTAATCCTCATACAAATTTCAACTGGTTTGTGCACAGTTAATTTCAAACCAAATGAGTTAAAATTTTGGGAATCGTTTAAGGGGCTGTTCATAAGCTACGTAGACAGTTTTTTGGGATTATTGACCCCCCCCCCACTGCGTAGACAATTGTCCATACAAAAAATTTAAAATTTGTATGGGCCGTGGATAATTGTCAACCCCTCCCCCCTAAACTGCCTACGTAGTTTATGAACAGCCCCTAAACACTGTGGACAGATTGTCCTTTAGAAAATATAACATGTTACATCGAGCTTTCAATAGGATATGTTACCCCTATTGTTGACGGTATATTGGATTAAGCCCAAAAGTATTCCCTTTTGCTTATTGAATAAAAAAATAGTAATCAATGTTAGGTATAATTATATTAAACTAATCTATGTTTCAGATGGTAAAAAGGAAATACAAAAAAAAAACAAGAAGAGGAAAAACGATAAAAGAAACCATATAAAAATAGAAGTCAGGGCTGTAAGTGGATGAATCAACAGGTATTCGAAACAAAATTGGTAAGAAATGTCCATTAAAATCGATGTAATACTAGGGTTTCCATATCAAAAACTTGAAAAGGAGGACATTTCATTTGAGGTTTGGTGATTAAGGAGGACAATGATTACTTTTCTTAACATTAAAGGAGGACAATGAGTTTTTATCAAACGTTTTAATAATATGTACGCTATCACAAAATTCATGATTTGCGAAAGTTCAATTGATATTGTTCACAACTTGTGGTCGTTATCAATTCAATTCATCTTCTCTTTGTAGTTCTGAAAAATGCATCACGCCTTCACAATTCATGTTTGATACTTGGAAATGATCTAGTCCAGCTGATTTGCATGAAAACTGCAGCTTTACAGCCTTAAAGCCATCCCAACTTTTATCATGTACAAAAATCAGTATACATGTCATCGCTGATTGAAAACAACATGGAACATCTAAGCAACCTATTAATTTTACCATTGATTCAGCATAGGACTCTAATACCCCGTACAGACTATGGATTATATAATGTAATATAGGCTGTCTTGCAATGAGCACTCATACATAGGTTTTCCAGTGAAAACTAAATGTATGAGTGCTCATTTCAAGACAGCCTATAGCTATAGCTTAGCGTTATATACAAAATAATTCCTATTATTGATATCATTCCTTACATTTGACTTCACGCTTCACGTGCCTCTTCGCTCTCAGTATGGCAGCGGCCAAATCAAGCATAACTATTCAAATCGACGAAAAATGCTTTTGTAAACAATCTCTTCAATCGACGATTTTTCTTAACTCACCCACGCAAACAAAGACCATCATCAGGTAAAATAATCTTTCCCCTACTAGCTGGTGTTGTTAGTTTCTGTGAGTGAGCTTGCAGTTGCCACAAATCATCCATTGAAGTGATTGTTTACAAAATAAGATACGTCGATTTGTATAGTTCTGCTTGAAATGCCCATAGAACCAGAACGTCAAAATCGAACGCATGTTGGATTCATTCTGTGTGGCTGTTTTTCATTTGGTGTTTTTTTTAACTTAAATATGGCAGATATAAAATTTTCAAATAAACCTGTTATTGGACCAGACTTATTTCTGCCAGACCAGGAATCAATTTTGACAAATTTCTTCTCAAAAATTACACGATCAACAACAGAGAGATTTTCGAAAATTATAATTTATTTTCGAAATGTCAAATTTAAGTAAAAATTCAGGAAAATGGAACACAGCCTAAGGTTGAGTTACATTTAATGAATTTTCACTGACTCTTCGAAAATAATACATAATGTTCGAAAATCCCTCTGTTGTTTATCGTCCAATTTTCGAGAAATTGTTTGTCAAAATTGATTCCTGGTTTGTCTGAAATAAGTCTGGTAGAATAGCAGGCTTATTTGAAAATTTTCCATTTGTCAAGTTTAAGTTAAAATTTACGAAATGGACGGCAGCCTTGACCGCAGCCTAAGGCTGTGAACCATTTGCTGAGTTAAATTTAACTCGTGGTTAAAAGTGACATTTCGAAAGTTATTTTCTTTGTTCGAAAATCCCCGTGCTGTCGATCGACCGATTTTCGAGCTACGGTCGTCAAAATTTAACTTCTTGTCTGTCAGAAATAACTATGCTTGGATAGCAGGGTTCATCGATAACTTTCCATCTGTCAAATTTTAACCAAAAGTTAAAATAATCCACCAAATGGTTCAGAGCCTAAATGTAGCGGGGTTGGCAGCTGTAGTATACTCCTAGTCCCACCATCAAATGGCATTTGCTAGATAAGATGAAGTTGCAACATAATTAAACAAATAAACTCTGCAAACAACGCTCTTTGAAAAGAAATGTATTAAAATGTTATTGGAAAAAATGCAAGGATTAAAAAGGAGGACATTTTCGGGTAAAAGGAGGACGAAGAAAAATTGTTGAAAAAGGAGGACATGTCCTCCTTTAGGATACCATATGGTAACCCTATGTAATACAGTTGAACAAATTTCAAAACTATATACGTGCTAGATGTAACGGCGCCGGTGGTGTAGTGGTAAGCGTGATTACCTCTCACCCCAGCAGGCCTGGGTTCAATCCCAGTCGGCGCCACCGGGATGTTCTGAGGCATAACATCTCTTATCACGCCTTCCTTCGGATGGGAAGTAAAGCCGTTGGTCCCCGGTTCATGAGTTGATGGGTCGATAGGTAGGGTCCAGGTGTGGGAGCTGTCTTCCTGGCACGTCGGTAGCATTGGTGCTCAGCACGGAAAACAAAATCGACGGAAAAAAACAAACCAAAGGAAAAAAAAAAAAAAATACGTGCTAGATTTGGAAATTATATTTTTTTAATCTAGAAGTGTGTTTATGATACCATTATCCATTTGATAAAGGTAGAGTGATCTCGGAGTGGTCGTGAATTACCAGGCATTCTGAAATGGGTCACTGGAGCTGCAATAGAGCTTACACCTTCTAACTTCCGGACTAAACCTGCTTTAATTTAAGGGTAATAAAAAGCAGTTTTCTTCCATAATAACGCTGCCGGCTAGATTGTACACACACAGTTTTCCCTTTTGCGATTGCGAATAATTTATGTTGGCTCGCTGGCAGTCTAAATGCTCTAAAAATTGCACTCTACGGAATCAATCTACGAAAAGTCTTCTGCCATTTCTTGCACTTAAACCAATCTAAATCCACAAAATCTTCATCAGTCATCTCTCTATCTACAGGCGTATTTCAGGACAGCTAATCATAAAAAAAAAACAATCATCCTTGGTAATGTTGTAAATTTTGCTTTGTGAGCGTTGCTGCTAGTTTTTTTTTTGCGGGTCTGCTATGTTGAAAAAAGAAAACAAAAAAGTTTACTACATTAGACGTCAAAGATGACATGCGGTGGGCTTTGTCAACCGTAGCTCGAAAGATTAAAACGTTAGCTGAAAGTGTTCCGGTGAAGGGTTTTCATTGACTTGTTATTTTAAAATTCACACGAAAAGGGCATTGCAAGTTTTGTTTACAAAAGTTCATATGCCCTTTTTAAATGTTACGCGAGATTTCCTTTACTTTGATACATTTTTGAAAAATCCAACCCTTTTTTTTCGATGCATTATTTCAGATTGCAAAAGGCAATCATCATAAGGGTAAGTGAGCCAGTGGCAATAATGGTTTTGGCCCTTACTCAAATTATAAATAAATGTTCATGCTTTTACTTGTATTAAAAAATGTATAGCCTAACGTGGAATCGAAATAAATTTGACAAAGAATGATATAAATTTAAATTGAAGATAGGGTCAATCAGAGGACCACTAGACTAGACAATGACGCAAGTTTTTTGCAATCTAAAATGGTCCGTTAAAAAAAAAAACTGGGATTTAATGTTTCGGATATGTTTCATAGCAATGTCGTAGATAAAATGTATGACAAACTATGGGCATGAGCATTATTTGTACATTTAATAAAACTCATGCTTAATTATTATACAAATAATGCTCATGCTCAAAGTTTTTCACACCGGCAAATTGGTGTAATTTATCAATACTAAAAAAAAAACAATATTGTCTGATAAAAGCCGTAACGCGTTGCTAGTCTTCACTATCGAACTTCGGTTTTGTGCTTTGGCGACAATACAAATGGTGCAGCATTTAAGTTAATGAATTTAAGTTTCTGCATGTCAAGCACTTGGCTATAAAAAAGCATCCACATTGAACATCATGAACATTGAAGTCGTAAATCGAAATCAAAGAGCATGCGCAGATCACGGTGTTCATCTTCCCATAAAACTACGAACTACTGCCACCGCCTCGATGATGGAAGCTTTTCGTCTCATTCATTATGGTTGGTGCAATAATTTTATTGCAAAGCTTACCGCCCTGGTGTTCGTCTCGTTTACTGCTAGACTGCGCTGGTGTTTGCGATTGCTGTACATGACCGTTGAAGCTCAATCAAATTGGAGTTATATTTACTCAAATTCGCAAACAAACTATGGTCACTCATAGACTTAGCTATAATATTCGAGCAGAAACTGCCGAGGAAAATTTCACTCAGTTTAGAAGTAACGGTGGATTTTGCGAATTTAAGTAAATGGAACTCGAGTTGGAGTAACATTCAACGGCCGTGTATGGGCGTTTTCTGGTTTAATGAAAATACAATTCATCATTTTAAATAAAAAATATTTTATTCAGTTTCCATTTCGATTCAATAATTGTTATAAGTTTTTTTTTCTTGTTTAACTAATAACCTTCCTATTATTTATATTTATAATTGTAGTTTTAATGATAATCATAGTACAGTGAAATGTATAGTAATCATAAATAGTTGCTTTTGTATCCGTTCATTCCTCCGTTAATGGCGCATGAGGCTACATAATATCCAACAGAAACCAAGGTAAATTTGCCAAATTGGGGCTTGTAAGCGCTTTCGATGCTCGTTCAGAACTTTTCATCCCTCAATCAGAATATATTGAGTTTAACGGTAGCTTCTTTTTTGGTTAAGTTAATTCGCGTTGATTGATTGGATTTGTAGCATAAATTAAACTTACTGGCTGTTTATGAAAGATGGACATTGCACTGGAAAAATATATTCTCAATAGGTTAATCTTTGCGTAGCGTTCGGCTTCTTGCATTCCAGGGTCAGGTTCGTATTTTCAATTGGGATGAAATATCACATTATCGTCATAAATGCACTCTCAACGTCATCTTATATCATTAAATCTTTTGCCTCGCAGTCAAAACGGTTTTAACGGTTGATTTTGTTTTGTGTGTGTGGGTGTTTTCAAAAGCTTTAAGGTTCGCTAGTCAAAGGCTTCCTTCCCGGTTAAATTCTTCCTAACAGGCTTTGTTTAAATTTGGTACTCAGGCTTGTGGGATTGGTAGGTATTTTGCTTAGTGTAGCTATCTTGGTCTAATTAATTTATAAAGTAAGCAATCCAAGCTACGATAATGATTTACGAGTTATGTTTTTTGTTTTGTCAGCCTATCAGTCGAAGTAAAAATATACAAACAAGATGAACCAAATCGTACTATCAACATAATTCAGCTAGTATGTTCAGTGTCTGTGTGAGTGATTTTCTTACTATCCTAAAAGTGTTTGTCCTACCTTACCTTATGGCTTTTGCATTTTTAATAATTCAATTTACAATTCTTCATCCTTCCTTTGCTTATCATCGTTTCGAACTAGTTTTTTGTTATAACTTTCTTTGTTTAGCTTGTATGTAGTTTAAATTAAAGTTATTTACTCGTATTTTATACTCTCACAATTTAATAGATTTATTTTCTAACTAACATGGCTTTTGTTCTCTTCGGTAAAAATTGCTATTTTGCATGTGCCTATTAGGGTACTTCGATCTGTAAAACGTATGTCCTCTCTTCAGCTTGATTCAGAAACCCAAAGTATTAGTCTTTGCAAACAATGGTTTAATGAAGGTTTAGAGGTCACGCAAATGGTTTGAAGAAAGTTAAAAAAGTGAAAACATCACAAAATAGGGTAATAGCGAAGACAACATATCAAGAATACTGGCAACTTTGCCTGAAACCGAGCGACAGACACAGGATATGTTATCTTCGGTAAAAGTTAAATATGTGCCTGACAACACCAATTTCATCACAACTACGGCAGCCTTGAAAATCGTTGTCATGGCAACCACTGCACAACTTTATAAAAGAGACCTTTTTTGTATCTTTTGTATCTTGTATCTTTTTTGTATTGACTGATTTGGAGCTATTTTCTTGAATTGAGTTAGGGTGTCTCTGAAGAAACAGTTGTTTTGTTCTTGTTTTCTTATTTAAAATTTATCAGCAAAGGTGTCTTGAAATAACTTTTAGATCTTTAGAAGGCGTAATTTTTTGCGGCACCAAGCTTGTCGATATCTTTCGACGATCAAGAGTTACTACTAAAAATATGCCCTTTTCAAATTTTAATATCTCTGGTTGGGGCAATACAAAAAAATGATTTCTTACGGCATTTGAAGGGGCGTATGTTATTCTTAATAAACCATTCGTCTTGAAGAGCTTTAAAAGTCTCTAGAAAATGACTTTCATGAGAAATTTGAAATAAAAAAGTAGTAGTTTAAAAAAAAACAGCCCTCTAATTTTTCATATTTTGATAATGGCGTGAATTTTTTTTTTGTTTGCTTCAACCAGAGATATTAGCATTTGAAAATGGCATATTTTTAGTAGAAAAACGTCAATAACTCTTGATCGGCGAAAGATATCGACAAGCTTTGTGCAGCAAAACTTTTCAGAGACACCCTAACTCAATTCAAGAAAATAGCTCCATATCGGTCAATTTAAGAGATACAAAAAAGTTCATTTTACAAAGTTGCTTGAAATTAGCTCAGCTACAACTTTTCCAAAAAATGTATACCTTAATTTCTACAAACAAAAAAGTTAGATTTTTGATTTCAATGATAATAAGAACCACCTTAGAATTCATTGTCATAAAAATGAGGACCTAACTATAAGGAACTTTGTAGAAGAGACTTTTAGTCTAAAGTTTCAATTTCAGGCTCAAAACATGCACTGATTCAATTTTGACAGCATTCTGATAGAGTGACAGCTTCGGTGACAGCTAAACTAACAATTTTAACATTGGCTTATGATTGTTTAAGCTAATCTGCAGCTAAAATTGTTTGTTGGCATTTTCAAAAATTAATAATTTGCCATAATCTGCGTACAAACTTCAAACCACTTGCGCGATCTCTGAGCCTTCATCTACCTTTACCGTTTTCTGCAAAGGCTCAAATTTGGGGTTATGAATCATACTAGAGAGTGACCTATTAGATTGCAAATACATTTTCCAAAATGAAGCACCCTAATGCTCATTCTGCCGATCAGTAGTGAACTTATTTGCAGCTGCTGTGATATATTTCGACATTAAAGGACTTGTTAAAGAAAATTCTATCCTTTTTCTTGTTCAGAAAATACCAAGCATTTTTCAAAAATGACACTTAATTTGTGTGTTCGTTGATGATGCTTCTTGGGTTGATTCTCTTAACTGCAGCTGATTCACTAAACTGTTGAAATTATGAGGACTTATTTTTTTGATCAACCTAAAATTAACCCGTGTGTGATTGTGTAGTTTGTACAGGATTAATTCGGTTGCTTCGGAGCTTGAGTACTTGGACTTTGAGGAAGTGTCAGCATTTAAAAAATCCAGATCTTCGAAAATGTGCAGCATTTGAAAAAAATATATATAAACAATTGTTACACCCAAAATTCGCAAAATTAAAGGAAATGAAGTAAATCCACAAGAACTTCTGAGCTCTGAGTGGCCTCGCTTAGCTCGGTAGGTAAAGGATCAATTGTCTTTTATACAGACGGCACTGGATTGGATAATCGTGTAGGAGCAGGGGTAACAGGTCCAGGTATAAATATATCAATATCTATGAGCTACTGGCCTACCGTGTTCCAAGCAGAAGTCCAAGCAATTCTTGAATGTTCTCAAATTTGCTTGTGTAGGAATTATAGACATTCAAATATCTGCTTTATGTCTGATAGCCAAGCAGCACTAAATGCTTTGAAATCAGCAACATGTAATTCTAAACTTGTATGGGAATGTGCAATGTCACTCCAAAAATTGGCCTGCTAAAACCAAGTGAACCTATTTTGGGTTCCTGGTCAATGTGGAATTCAAGGGAATGAAAAAGCCGACACACTAGCTAGGCTTGGATCATCTCAACAACTTATAGGACCAGAACCATTCTGTGGAGCTTCTGCTTGCTCTCTTATAATGGAGTTGGAAAAATGGGAAAAATGAAAGTGGAGACCAATTGGAACAACACTCTGATTGCTAGGCAGTCGAAACGGTTTATTAATCCGATTATTTCAATGACTAGCAAAATTCTTGAACTATCAAAGGAAGATCTCAGTATGTACACTGGTTTAATAACAGGGCACTGTCCATGTAAATATCACTTGAAGCTAATAGGAAAACTTCAAGATGACATGTGTCGATTATGCGGCATAGAAAAAGAAGACTCTGAACACCTGCTATGCTCTTGTACAGCAATCTTCATTAAGAGGCGTATTTTTCTGGATAAGGGGCTGACAGAACCCTTTGATATTTGGAATTCAGTTCCCAGACAAGTAATGCAATTCATTCGAAATGTAATACCTGGCTGGGAAAATGCTTTCGGTCAGTCTATGTCGGTCGCTTCATAAAATGGTGATTCGACATGCTGATAAAGCAATATTAAAACGGGGAATATATCACAATAGATCTAAGTACTGGTCGCATGCGATCAAAATACCCAACACGAAAAAAAAAGTGCTAATAAAATTGAGTATTTTTAATAATATTTTGCTAATGTTTTGGCAAGGGGAATCGAGGGGATAGCCAAGTTTGGGTACATCGATGATATTGGCATATATTTTTTTTAAATAAAAAAGTAATGTTGTGTTATGGGCCTTCCACTACTTTAAAGTTACTCACATTAAAGTAAATATCTAAAATTATATAATGACGAACACGGAACATGATTTCATTTATAAAAATTTAATGATTATTGGCCTTTGAGAAAATCATTGTACAATGGGTTGTGATCCAAAGATTGAGAAACACTGTTCAAGTGATGTTTATCCGCACCCTAAATATTCATTCTGCAGCTAAGGATCTGCCTCGATCAAATAAATCTATTTGGAACCCAATCATCCAAAGCATCATCACCACCGAACCACCATTCTCTAATTGACTCGAATCATTCCTTTTTTCACCACATCACACAATCCTTCACCCATTCACCGCCTGTTGAGAACAAAATTCCATATCTAGCTTACCTCCTCAACATACTATTCGTTTTCATAAGCATTCTGTACACAACTTTCAAACAATGCATGATGCAGGGCGTTCCCAGTAACTGAGTGTGGATTGGACGTATTTTTATTTAAATATTATGTTGAAGTTTTTTTTGCTCTTAGACTTTTCTTCCCGTAAACAAATAAAACTATCAACTGAATATGGCTCTTGTAATTTTTTTCTGTAATTACTATTTTCATACAAAATCAATTAATGCACTATTTTTTTTTATTAATAGGATAATTGAAGATGATCACAATTTTGGTAAAGTTTGGACTAAATCTAGATGTTGAACCAATTCGATCAACTGACCATTCTCCAAGGGCATGTTTCTATCACCTTTGATGTTTCATAGAATTTGGACTAAGGTATGGGTATTTGTAACTCGAAAGTGTTTTTTTAAGTGTGTTATTTCATCGGTTTAGGCATTGGTTTGGTTTGCTTATGTTCAAGATTCGCATTTTTAAAAATTTATGATTTTGTCGGTGACTCCGTTTCCAATATTCTAAGACGTAATTCAAACTGGGGGTTCGGTTTAAAATGCACGAGAGGGATGAGTGATAAAAATCTAGTTATTATGAGATGAGTATCGTAAAAGAACTTAGGCGTATAGTTTTGTTTTGTTTGTAGGTTTCGAACAGCTCGATCATTCAAATGGGTTTTACTGGTTTCGTTTTCACTATCTTGCTTCTCGGAGGAACAATTCGTAGCTTGAAAGTTCAAAAATACTCTTCTGTAGTTTGGTTTCTCGTTTTTTGTTGTTGTTAACAACATGTTGTGTGTTTGGCAATTTTTCGATTTTGTTTATTAATTTACCAAAAGCCAAAATATTGGATGTTCAAACAAAACTCTCAACCATTCGTACGATTCGATTTTTCTATCGATATTTATCTTGATTATCCTAATATCTTCAGTTGCGAATTTTTAATTCTTTATCCTTTTAAAGTTAATTATTTACATCTGTTGCTTTTCTTTGCAATGCTTATAAATAAAGGTTCTTCGGTTAAAGCACAGTAAATGACATATTATTCCAATATACTCAGTATCATTCATTGGCCTTCCCCTCAGTTATCTTTATCGATTCAATTAAATTTATGTAATACATGTCAATATATAATACAAATTCGTCTCCTGTTTTAGTTTTTCTCCTATATCAGTAAGAGCAAAGCATTCCCTCAGCTCCGAACAAAGTCATTTTGGTTTTGGTAGGATTTTGTTTTCTTGTATTTTAGGTAGGTAGTATCAGTATGTTGAAAGTGCCAACCGTTTTTAGCCGTTGGCGCTTCTGTTGCACTGCATTTCTATATTTTGGTTCCCCGTATCAATTTCACTGTATCTTACCGTTGCTACAGTTGCTGATCTGGATGTCGCTGCACGGAATACTTTAGTTATAAATGTTAAACCTACAAGTTTTGCAACATTGTTGCTGGTAACGGTGCAGTCTACATAGGCCCATTGTTTTTACATTTTTACAGTATCGCGATAAGTCTTTGCATTCCGATGCTGGAAAGATGCCAACAATTACAATTCAATTTTCATATATCAGAGCGCTTGCTACTTACGGTTAGAAATACAAGGTGGTCCTTTACAAACTTTCATCACGGCAGGTCGAGGCTGATCCCTACATGCGTTACCAGCCGGTTTCTTGGTACCGTACCAGACACACTGCAGTATCCTGTATTTGATGCCCTGGCCACCGCATGCAGAGTTGCACTGAAATTAATGATACATAGAATTCAAAAAGTTTAAAACAAAGCTACAACACACTTCCTACCTCTGACCAGGGCTCCACCCGCCAGACGCCTTTGCACATTTCGTTGTAGCATTCCTGTTTGGTAACAGGCTTCTCCAGATCCTCACACTTGTCGCTATTGCTCACGTTGCCGAACTTGCAGAATACATCCCGCTTTTGCAGAGCCGTGTGCCAAGCGAAACACTTGGACTGCAGACAGAGAGACCACTCGCTGGTGACCCAACGGGGACATTCGACATTGCCGCATTTTTCCACCGTTTCCGGGATGATGAGACCGGCCTCTTCGCACAGGCTGTTGTCCACCGTGTAGGACGAATTGATCAACTGCACCATGCAGTGAACCGACCGGAGCTGAAATTGATGGAAGGTATTTTCTTGGTTAATGTTTATGTCAGAATTTGAACAGAGTTTAAGCTATCCAGCTATGTCCGATTACGCATACGCACGAATGCAGATTTCCAGCATAAGCCTACGTGGCTCGAATGATATTCGTTATCCAAATCTCAAAGATGGTTATAGCAAAGTGATTAACTTTCAAAATTTGTTTGAAGATGGAACGCTATTTGACCGACAGCTATTATGTTGAATGCTATTGGGCCCTAATATGATTAGACTGAGGGGATTATTTCCCGGGCAACTGTTAACAGGGTTTATTTAGAATTTTCGAAAGTTTATTTTATCTTTTTTTTTTTCTTTTTAATACATGTCCTACAAAATAACTTTTTAAGCTTTCCCATTGGAATACTATATAATTTGCAAATTATTGACGGACCATTGCAGAATTTTGCAATGTTTGATTTTATTGAGTTCTAGAAATGAAGCTATTCTAAATACATATAAATTGGACAAGTTTTCAATATTTTGGAACTTCGACTATTTTGCGAGATCTTGGACAAAGAAAAAAGATCATAAGTTTAATATTTTTTTCAATATGGGCTGACATCTAAATAACTTTTAAGGTAACATCTATGGAAAAAAGTGATAATTTTGAATTAAAATTTGTTTTATAATGTTTCAAGAATATTTGAAAGGGTTTGAATTCCATACAATTCACATTATTTTTTCAATATCTTTGGCTTAAAACGTTCTTTATGATTCCGTGGAATTTAATATTTTGCAAAGTTTTCAATTTTAATACTTGAAAAATTGAATCTTTCTATTGATGTCAACTAAATTCCACTTTTCCGTTGCATCAAGTGTAAATAAATTTGAAACTATTTTTTCTAAATTTGCTCTCTACTTGACTAGCCTATTGGTCCCAAGTACATCTATATGCGTACCCCATTCCAGTTGAAATTCTAGTACTACACTATGTTTGTTTTGATTCGCTATGAACGTTTGATAGATAAAATGAGGAAGTCGTAGATTTTCCTATGTTTCGAGGGGTGCATCGATTAGCTTGGGACCTAAGATACTACCAGAGCTGAGCCAAAAAGTTGAGCACGTTTCTTCGGGACCTTCTGGTCTTAGAGTTATCTCTATGGTAGCACTTTCTTTCTTCTTTTTTCTTCGCATTTCAAGCTTATTGCTTATCGCATATTAGCTTATTGTGTGCTCTCAACTTAATGTTCTAGGTACACTTCCAGAGTTGAGAGCATCCGATGCCTGTATCATTTTTGCTTTTAGTATAATTGTGTGGCAATTACAGTCATACTTTATGCCAAGGGAAGTAGATAAATTTCCCAACCCGAAAAATTCCTAGACGGGACCGGGACTCGAACCCAGCCACCTCCATTATGGTCTTGATTTATGGCTACGCCTATAATTACTAAGCTAAGGGAAACCCCAAGAGTAGCACCACGAAGATCTATTAAAAGATTGTTGGAGCACTAATTATGTTTGCCTCCATAATTTTGAAATCGCTTTAAGAATTCTCTTGATAAACTCTTCAGAACTACCTTGGATCACTCATTTACAAATTCCTTTTAAATTAATTCAATTAAGAATTGCGTTTGAAATTTATCCGAATTTCTAATCTTCGTTCAGAATACTCCTGAAAATTTCCGTTGAGTTCTCGTCAGATTTTTTAAAATACCTTTGAGCTTTTCCTCAAAATTCCCATGGACATGCTCTTAATATTGTCTAGGATTTATATTGAACAATCCTATCAGTTTCTTCTCAGAACACATTTTATATTGTTTTTAAAATACCCTTTTAATTTTTCACGGAATTTTCTAGCAAAACTCTGAGAGATTTTATTAAATTGCCATTCAGAAATCATTTAAAAATTCCATCCTGTTTCATTTTCCTACAATCGTTCTAATTTTTTAACCATCTTTGGAATTCGGTACTTTAAAAATCTGCTGAAAATTTCTCTTAAATTATCTTGAGGATTCATTTTTTGTTTTTTTTTTCTTTTCTTGGGATTTTATTTAAGATCTTATAGCAGTGAGATTGTTAGTTCGTTTGAATTCATGACTTAGTTCCCGTAAACGTGATCGAGTAAATAAAATTTTCATAAAATAAATCCCAAATCCATGAACTTAAGTCACGCCTGTTCAGCGCGGCCATCGATTTCATAACGCTACAGAAAACACAAAATAAAATCATGATTTTGTGATCCATGAACGCATAAGTGTGATTTTCGTTCCTGAAATCGTGAACTTGGATCACATCTCACATGTAATGCTGCAGCTGTTTTTTCAGTTGTTGTTGATTTTATCCTTTTAGAGTGCTCGGATCCGTCGAGAATAGTGTCTCGATTATTATTAGTGAGTTAGCTGAGCCGTATCATCAGAATGGTGGTCCGGCACAATGGCATTGGCTGGTACATGTCATCATACTGGCCGTCCTCGAGGAAAAAGAATCCCCGAACGCATCAGGTGTTCTTACTCCCGCCGCTCCGATGGAAGTCGAAGGTGGTGTTGATTTGTTGAGCTGAAAACTCGACTGAAAGTGTGTTCATTCCATCTGCTGGACAGATACCTACTGCCAGTTTAGGATGCGGGTAAAACCTGCATCAAGGCTTCCGTTGTTTTCATTCCACTTCCTCACTCCATTTAAAATATTGATATTTATAATGAAGTTGACATTTTACAGTCCATGAACCATGTTCCCGTTTTCGAGAACAAGATTCACGGTATCAATCACAAAGCATGAACATAAATCACGTTTCCCAGAACTAGAACATGATTTTCCGAACAGAGTTCACGACTCTATGACTTTTGTTGACTTATTACAGTTAATTCTTTCCTATACCTTATTACAGTAAACACATTCTAAATAGTTATTTACGACACCCTAAAAGAGGCATTGAGGAAGCTTCCGAACCTCCAGACCCAGTCGCGCTTGCAGCAAACATTCGCCATCTTCATCGTCCTGGTCCTGTGGTTGGTGATGGTATCCAGGGCTTCCGGCCTGCAACCTCAGGCGAGTATGTTTGCGATTCCGAGCTTTCGGCACCTGATGTCCTTTCGATTTCCAGCTCCCGTGATTGCTCCTCGAATGGTCTCCGGATCTACTACCAAAACGTGCGTGGGCTGAGGACTAAAATCGACTCGTTTTTCCTGGCTGTTGCGGAGGCCGAATATGATTTGATTGTGCTGACGGAAACGTGGCTGGACGAGCGAATTTATTCATCGCAACTTTTGGGGTCACTCTATTCCGTCTTCAGAACTGACAGGTCTCCCATAAACAGTCAAAAATCGTGCAGTGGCGGAGTCCTGATTGCAGTATCAACGAGACCAGCCAGCTACGTAAGTACGTCACCCATTTCCAGTCAACTGGAACAACTGTAGATTGTCGTAGAACTTCCACAAAGCAAGCCTAGTGTAGGCTCAATCTACCTGCCCCCGACCGCAAAAACGACTGCACGATCATCCGTGAGCATGTGGAATCTTTAGGATCAATTTCTTCTCAATTAAGTCCCTGCTCTCCCGCTTTCGTATTTGGCGACTACAATCAAGCTGGTTTGCAGTGGCGCTTTACAGACAGTGGCACACCATTAATTGCATATTCCGGTTCGTGTCTAGTCTATCCCGGGATATTTTTTTTTAATCTAGATAACAAATTTCTATGGTTTTGACAGATGGGATCGCTGCACATTTGAATCTGTCGCTATGGATTCTCGATCAACAGTTAAGTTTAAGTTTCATGTCGGTTTGTCGGTGAAAAAACTACACGGTAGTTGGAGTCAAGTTTAGTTGTTTGGTGCCCTTTCTATGCTAGCTGCATCACTAGAATTGAATCCGTTCAACGCAAGTTTGTGAGATATGCTCTTCGTTTCCTCAACTGACGTGACCCAACGAACTTGCCACCATACGAGGAGCGTTGCCGTCTACTGGGAATCGAACCATTAGAGGCGAGAAGGACGGTCGCTCAAGCTATGTTTGCTGGAAAGCTGCTTACGGGTGACATTGACTGTCCAACACTGCTGGCTCAGCTAAATATGTACGCCCCTGAGAGGTCTCTTCGTCAACGCGACTTTCTGTTTTTGGAACCACGGGGCCGAAATTATACACAACATGAGCCAATTCGAGCAATCAGCCGGCCATTCAACAAGTTCTTTTATATGTTCAAATGAAATTTTGATGATTTTGGGCCGTCCCTGTGTTGAAGTGGGATCCAGTATCCAAAAAACATTTAGAATTATGATCCTGCTTGAATGGACGAATTTTTGATTGCTTGAAGTAGCAATTTATGATTAAATATTGAACATGGACCAAGCTTTCTAATTTTGAGAAAGCACAACTCTGAATATCAAATTTTAGACTTGTAGAGTGCTTTAAAACCTCTATTAAACTTACAATGTTACTTGGGCTGGGGTGTGCAATACATGCTTGTGAACTATATCCCACCGGAGGTATCCCACTGCGATCAAGCGTTTGGTTAAACGTGTTATCCATAACAAATGTTCAAAGGAGATGGGATGGGCAGTGAAGTGCGCATGAGAAATATATTTTATAACAGAAGATTAAAAACAAGTGTTTCATATGCGAAAATATCTCTTACGGAAAGTCCATAAACTGTCATAAAAATAGCTAATAAGGGTGAGGAAATTGACATGTCAAGGTGAGGAAATGGAGTAAATTGAGGAAATAAGTTACTTCTGCTGTATTTTAAATCCATATCAGGAAAAATGCACGAGACGTTCACTAAACATCTCAACGTAGTCTACGTAAACCATGCGGTCAAATCTTGTACACAACTCCGCCAATGTTGTTTTTTTCAAAATTCGACAACTTGAATAATTCTGTACGTTCCAATGTCTACATAATTTCTCGAAGTGCGTATAAAATCCAAATCTAGGATTTTTTTCTGAAACTATTTTTTTTAATTCAAGGATTCAAAACAAATAGATCAACCACAGACATAACACACTGAATATTTCTCACTGTAAAACATCGTCGCTA